ATAGTACCAAGAAACTTTGCAAACCACTTGACACATTCCATCAGTCACAGCACCTCCTCCATACACTGCACAAATATTTTTTGTGTTTCAGTTGTGTTTTTACTTTTCTTGAAATAATAAAGCATTAACATGCCAAAAATGTGTATCTTCATCCATCTTCAATATTAAAATGGCTCCACAAAAATCTACCAGTTTTGATATTTTTTAAAAATGTAAGCTGATATAACATCTGTCACAATACACTCTAACAAAATTGTTTAGAATGAAGTTAAAGACAACTAAGCCCTACTAGAGCCATCTTATGGAAAAAACCAAATGAACTTTTTGGCCAACCCAATATTTTAGTTCTTGACCAAGTCCAAGCTCACCTTCTTCCTACCCCTACCGCCAGCATATAACAGCTGCTATCATTTTTAGTGTGGTTACTGTGTGGCATTGACTGTATGGGCCTTAATTCATTAAGTTTTCACCCTGTAAAGCACAGCTACCCTTAGCCCCATTTCATAGATAAGCAAACCTAGCTCTTCAGAAGCAAGGTTGCAGGATCGTATAACTCCAAGAGATTCTACTCAAACTGGATTCTACAAACAGGGGTGCTCGGTGGAGCCCAGCTCCATACAACGCATACCCAGCTTTGTGGAGGGTGGGGGTTAGCGAGCAAAGCCCGACTCTTACACTAGGTTTATGAGAAGCAGTTAGGAAAAAACCATGGAGAACTCTTGGAGTTAATCACAAGATTATTCCTGAATCTTCCTTCTGTGTGTCCCCCGTACTCCTTTTAAATGTTTTTTCTTTTCCATTCTCTCCAAAGCCCTAAGTGGTAGGTTGAAATATATTAGGGTGCGCATCAACGTTAGTAAAGGAAATAAAGCGGGCGCAATCCAAGATGGCGACATGGGAAGACTTCCCCCCCCCCCCCGCGGCCATATCCTCTCTTCCTGTGAACACACTAAATCTACAGCGACAGAGAGAACAACAATGTCTTCAGGGAGAGACCTGAAAACCAGCTGAGCAGCTGCTTCACCCCAGCAAACAGCAAATGAGGAAAGAGCCGCATCTAGGCATCTAGGCGCATAGGAGAAGCTGAGAAGCAGCCTTGCCACCCCACCCCACCCCCAAACTCCGCCTGGCGCCGTGACTCACAGGTCGCAGGGTGAGGGGCGGGGGATACTCACAGACCTGGAGTTTCTTCCGGAAGAGTGAAAGTTTCGTTCCCACAACTTTTAAGACCTCAACTTTTAAGACCTGCACCTGAGAGCCGAGCCCCCAAAACACTAGGCTTTGGAAACCAACGGTGTAAGCTTCCAGCAGATCGAAAGGGCCATAGGGAACTGAGAGAAACGGCTCTTAAAGCGCAGCACACACTCATTCCCCCAGCCCAGCACAGAAGCGGCTGTTTACAAAGCACTAGGACGTTGTGTCAGAGATTCATTTGCTGCATTTAAAGCATTGGCCCGAGAGGCCGGGGTCTGCTGAAATCCTCTGTAGGAGCGCTGGCAGGGGCCATCTTTACCTTCCAATGCTCAGGAGCCATTGTTGCGCGCGCTCGCCCTACATCAAGCTGCCAGCGCCATAGTTCCCCCCCTCAGATGGCACCATTTCCATGCGCTCTCCCTACTACCCTGCTATACTGCTCAGGCATCTCCTGGACGGGAACTCTGACACTTCTCTGGTGCCCCAGTTTTTGCAGCTGCCGCCCAGGGGACAGGCTGGCTCTGGGTCCCACGGACTGTAGCAATCCGAGAGATGGTTCAGTTCGGGGAAGGCTACCACCCCTAGGACACTGCGCAGACTGCAGGCCTGTTTGCTGGTCCCGGAGCTTTGGCCGGAGGGGCCGGCTTCCGGTGTGGCACACACACAATTAGGGACTTGTGAAGGGGCATTTGGGGAACTAAACTGGGGGCACCTTCTAGCACTCTCTCCGCCTTGCTTGCGGGTCATGGGTATGTCCCGGAAAGGAAATCACAGTCTGGAGCCCCGATTTCTGCGGCTGTCTTCCAAGAGATACTTCCAGATCTCCTGGTCTCGTTTAAAAGCTGTCTGAGGCTCTGGCTTCCAATCTGCCTGAATCTAGACGCTGAGATCATCTCCATAGGGACGCTGACAGGTCTTTGCACACACACGCTACTGGGAGCCCCTAAAAATTAAAAGAGGCTGCTTGGACTATCACAAAGGTTGAAGAGACAACCAAGAGCTAGGATGGGAGTGACAGGAAGGATCGTCTCCTACATGAGGCCATTCCTTCAAGTCTGGGAGAGGTGGCTGTTTCATGCAATACATAGAGATCAACAGAGTGCAGCAGAATGAGGAAATAGAAATATATTCTACCCCACCCCCAAAACCATAATGAAACGGAGGTAAGAAAATAAAGCAGAAGAGCAAAGTGGGGCTGTATCTTTTTTTCTTTTTTCCCCCCATTTAAAACTCTGCTTCGACTCATATAAGTCATCAGTTTGTCCCACAGGAGCACCCTGAGGAATCCCTGTGGACCCCTCTGTTCTAACAGCACCTTGATGTTGTTCCAGGGATTTCTTTACTCTTGCTTTCTTGCGGCTTGGGATCAAGCAGGCAGATACCCAGTTGGCCATCTGACTGGAACCCAGTTACTCTATGGTGGAGGTGGGTGTGGAAGGGTGAGGGAATGATGAGGGGACATATTTCTCCATAGCCTGGCTTTACTTTGAACCCAATCAGTTACCAAGTTGAGAGGCAGAAAAAGAGAAACTTCTGTGTTCCTTACAGCTTGTACAAGAGTGCATGAATGAGGCAAAAACAGGAGTTTCCCACAGGGCACCTTAACCCAGAGGGAGGAACTCATCTTGCCGTACCTCCCCATGTGTGCTCCAGTGTCTCGTCTTTTTTTTCGTGCCTCTAGACTTCTGTTTGGGTTGCTCTCCTTGCTCAGAATATTTTTTTCCCTTCCCTCTGACTTTCTACTTATCTTTCAAGCCTCAGGCCTCTGCTCCTTTAGGATGACTCCCTCCGTTTGTCTATTACTGGTCCCAACATGCTCTCCCTATGAGCTCTCATAGCAACTGTACTTTGTTCATGTGTTTGTCTTTTCCAACAATGTGCAAAGCTTAATTCATCTTTACTTCATTCCTAACAGATTGTTTAGCTTTTAGCAGACAATAAAAAAAATGTTTGTTGAATAAATAACTTGAGTGGAGGTTTAGAGATGCCAATAAGTTGAAAGCTAACCTTAAGAAACCTTAGTCCAGTCTTACGACTAGCCACGTCCAGGCATTTGACTTCTCTATTCATTGTTTCTGGCTGTGCAGATGCCATTTGCCTACGGGCTGGGACCAGGCTGAGCAATTATGAAGGGATTATTTTAATGATATGATACTAGCCAGCATATATTGAGTGTTTACTCTGTCCCAAGTGCTATTCTAAGCATACTGCATATATTAATAATTTAATTCTCACAACAGTTCTGTAAGGTAACCATCTCTGTTGTATAGATAAGGAAACTGAGACCTAAAGAGTTTAAGTGAAATACCAAGGACACACAGCAAGTTGAAGATCAGGCTCCAGAACTCATACCCCCAATTGCAATGCCTCTCAATGAGAAAGACAGAGATGGTTGAACCTTAATAATCTCAGGTTGATTCTGAGTTGGAAATGTGGACCTGGATCATGGTGAAGAGTACATACTCCTGTTTCTTTATCTGTCACACCATGACTTAATTATGCCCACCTTCGCCTTGCATAAAACTCTTACACATACACGCCCGGCCACCACCACCACCTCTTCGGCAAATATTTTTACTTTACCCTTTTCTGAATGAACAGGGTTCCAGCTGTAAGTTGGCTGGAAATTGTTGCATAACTCCAGTAATTTATGCAGTCCCGATGAAATGCAGAGGAGCTTGGACTATAAAATTAGATGGCACATAAATTCATGAAGCCTGGAAGGGACAAAACTATTGCTTGCTTTTCTTTCCACAACAAATCTCTAAATTAGCTGTCTCCTTTAAGCTCTTCAGTTCATAGGAAGAGTAGTTCCTTTGGGGGAAACTTATCTATTACGCTGGGAAATAGGGTGGTCTTCTCTGAAGGTTAGTTGGAGTTTCTGTTGGAGCCACAGAGTGACCACTATTGAGCTCTGAGCTCCTTACATAGTGAAGCCAAAGTAAAAAGGAAGAACATATCACAAAAGCTTTGAAACTTAGTTATATTTAGTTGAAAAATTATAAAATTAACGAGGAACCCATGAATATAGGCATCTCAAAAAAAATGTTAAGGCTTCCCAGGGAGGCTACATGAATACCCTTATTTTGCAGATCTTAAAAATGAACCAAGCACACATATTTTTAAAGAACTCCATGGAGATTTTGAACATTTTTACACATTTTCACATATGGATATTTCCATAACTACTGTCAGGAAAAAAAGGGAAGATATTTACACAATAGTTATGGTAGCAAGCATTTAGACTGAAATATCTATGGATTTTATTTCAGGGACATAGGATCCTGGAATAGACTTTAGTGGAGAGAGAGGGAAGACAGGTTTTTTCTGTAGACATCTTTAGGAATGGAAGATGCATCTCATAATTTAGTAGGAGTTCAGTTTGGAGGTGAAGTGACTGACTAAAATTTTAATAAACTATGCATTCTCTGAGGATTAGTCTGAATTTAATATGATTGTGACCAAAATGGCCAAAAGCAACAAATCAGAAAAAGAGTGCCCTCCAAAAGGATTTTTTAAAAAAATTAAAATTTAACTTGCCTATGTGAAAAATATCAAGTAGGTATTCAACTGGCAACTTTAAGTGGGGTGGGGGGGGGCAGGCGGGAAACAAGCAAATAGTGGAATGTGGGTGAATTTTTCCCCTTCCTATCATAGCTCCCTTCTGGTAAGCATTGCAATTCTGGGTGATTTACTACTTCCTTATTTTCACTTTCATAAGATGAGATTGTGTTTGTATGAGAAATGTGTATTTTACTATGGTCCTACATGACATTAAAATTTCGAAGTAAAATAGACAGGTAAAAAGATATTTATTGACACCGACCAAAACATATATGAGTATATCCGAAGAACAAGCTGAAAACATTTTCTGGTTTGTTTCTCACACAGAGACACATATTACTCTGAAGACAGAAGGTGCCAGCTTTCTGCTGTGGGAAAGTACGTAACTGGCAGCGAGCTTTGCCGAGAGAGCAGATTTTGTCCTTAAAGAACTGCAGGGCAGAGATGCTCATAGTGAGTGGGAGCTGGTGCTCCCAGAGACAGGGCGGGATGAGAGAAATGAGGGCACTACTGGGGTTTCACCGTTTACATCAAAATTGACCGTGCTGGGGCTTTGCCTCTGGGCTCTCTTGAAAGATGTGGCTTGAAAAACAACCATCATTAAGACTAAGAAAGTGCATCTGCAAAGCATGTGGCCCAGGTCAAAGAGTCCAAATGGTGTCCGTAGTAGAGTGGCCTCCTGCTCTGAATAGTGTCCAGACAGTGCACATTGGCTGCATGGTGACTTGCACAATGACTGTGACAGATCACCACCAGCAGCAACCGCTTTGATGTTCCAGAGAAATTAGCACGTGAAAACTCACCAAGAAAAGACCTTTCCCACACCCTCCTCTGCCTTTTGGGGGCACTGGAGCTACTTCCGTAATCATCTGCTGTGATTGTGAAAGTTTGCCCATCATGAATATCATTCTTTTCATTCAAATTGCTTCATCTAGGTCTGAAAAGGCATTTCAAAAACCAGATGATTCAGTAGAAAATGCAATATGGAATTTTAGTCCAGAATCATAACTTTGAAAATATTTCTGCTTATTTAATTTCTCCTCCAGAAATCTGAAATTAGGTGTGGTGAGTTAACAATTATACAAACAGAGCTGCTTTCAATAATTTAATTATTAGATTCATGCCCCAAAAGGGAACTTGCATGAAATATTAACTATTACTCTTAAAGCAATTTGGACACAGTCACACACACATTAGGAAAGGAAAAAAAATTCTCTCCAAAATGCCAGTGTTTTCTTGTTTGGAAAAATAACGACAGCACAATTAGAGGTAAACAATATTTTCTTCGGCTCCATCTCCGTTTTCCCCCTCTTGTCTGGTCACTGTCTGTAGATTTAGCTTTGCTTCTGCTGTAAACGTCTGCAGCTCAGGGCCATGTGGATCTGAGTCAGGAGGAGCTGGGAACTCGGTCTCAGAGACGTCCCAATCTGCAACAGACAGCACAGGTCACAGGAGAGTCAGCTAGACACCCACCAGGCAGGTGAACTATGAAGCCGGCCATGGAGAGAATGGTGGAGTCCAGAGAGAAAGAAACAAAATGGGTATCGGATGATTTAATCAGTATCATTAAGATATATTTGGTTGTGTGTACAAATGTCTCCTGCAGCTAAAAATAACCTTTATAAAATAGTCCTAGGGAACTGTCTAATAAACAGAGACTTGTCACCATTTGTGGGCTGTGAAAATGCTGCTACTTCAGAGGAAGTGGTACCCATTTTTAAAAATGGGTTCAAAATCTCAGAAATACAGTATATACTCTAGCTACATGCAATTAACTATATTTTCATCTGCCTAGCACCTTCTCTCAATTATCTCAAAGTCAAGAATTAACCTCAAGACAAATAATGTATCTGGATTTTGTAGATGTGGGGAAGGGGTGGGGAGAAAGGAGTTGAAGGTTGGAGACCCTTTAGCCTCACCATTATGCAAATCTGTTAACACTACACAAATCACTTAGCAAGAGTAGCCAGGTTATTAGAGAAAATTGCTCCAATATCAACTATGACTGGGTTTTCTTTTCTGTCACCTAGCAACAGCAGGGCATAGTCTGTTCTTTCCTCCCGGTAAACCCTCTAATATACAGGTTAAAGGGGAGGCAAAAGAGGGGTTTGAGATGAAGAAAAAAAGTCTCTTGCTATAAACCATCTTCTCTGCACTTGTTCCATTGACCATCCTCCCTGAAGCTCAGCTATACAGCAAAATTACAAATAACCAGCTCCAGCTGGAGGAGACGGCAGAGTAGTCATGGAAACACAGGTGGGGAAGATGTATGACCCGGAGGCCCACCTGCTCCATTTTTCAATCATTAACAAGAAGTCATTATAACCCTTGCCACATTTCATTCAAAGCCTCTATTATTTAGATGGAAGCACATAACTGCTGGCATTCTAAAGACAAAAATGCTTGTGACTTTCACCCTCTTTACAGGGATCTTTGGCTGTTAGAGAAAGCAGGAAGCAAGACCTTGGCAAGAATGAGAAGCAGAATGTCCTCACAAGGGTCCGTTGTAGGAGATATGGCACTCTCTGCTACACCTCCTTTTATCGCCTCTTCCCATAGGAGGTAGGGCGATGGGAGAGGGGCAGCCAGGGCCACAGGAAGTAGACCGGGTCATCTGGAGTGGCTCACCTGTGTCTCTGAAGCTGAGGAAGACTCCAGGGAAAGGGGAGAGAAAGAGGAAATGAGGAGGAGAGACTGCACTCCGCAGCTCAGCTCAAAGTTCAGGTCCTCCATGACTCTGGATGCCAATGGGGCACAAAATAGTCCATTTACATTGGGGGGACTTGATTTTACTGACCTCGATTCCAAACCCTGTATCTCATATACCGGGAACCCATTAACCACTGAAAACTTATCTACTGAAGATGCCTCTAATGACCACCATGTGTAGCGTGCCTTCTCCAGAAGTGTTCTGGGTCTTGCCACCCTCATTTACTCAGGTAAACACAAACCCTCCCAGGCCATAATCTCAAAATCAGGGCAATATAAATCAACCTAGAATGTTCTATGTCCTATTTCACCACATTCAGAGACAAAGTATGCCTGTGTGGTCACAACATACTTCCATTCCACAATTTCAACTCTTTTTCCCAGCCATTGAATGAATAGGCCATTTCACCTCTAAAAACAAATATTTCCCGTTAAACTACTGATGTTAAATATTACACAATACAAAAAAAAAACCCACACAAACCTCAAAATTTCCATCTAGCTGACGCTGGCAGGTTGGAGGAGAGTCCACCTAGGACTAGAGCACTGCCTGTGCCAGCAAGAGGTCCGGCCTGGGCACAAGAAACACTGTATAGAGAATGAGCAATCATCACAGAATGTGGCAGTTGGGAGGTGACTCCTGACAAATGTGACAATGCCAAGCACAGTGGGAGCCCTTGATCCATGTCAGTTTCCTTCCTCTGAGTGTGAGACCTTTGGCAAAGAATCTAAAATACTGGTGAGTCTAGGTATCTGGGAAGTCCCTTTAATAGTTTCAAGAAAAGACTTGTTCAAAAAGAGCCAAAGAACCAAATATGTACCAGAAAGAATTCTTTTATCTGAAGTTACATTGTAGGCCCTAGTTCAGGAAGATAGAAAACCAAGAATGAATTGGGGGTGGCGGTAATCTTTGTGTGCATATGTGTGTATAAGGGGATATATAAGTTTAACCTGAATTTTTCAAGTAAGAATGAAAGTACATCTGTAGACAAGAGCTTGCTGGCCCCCAGGGTGAACGGCCCACTCTGCAATCCCAGATGTATTCATGGGGGGGTTGTGGTGTGTGTCACCTGGAGGGGAACTCAATTTCCTTCGCCGTGTTCCTTCTTGGTTTCTACCTGAACTATTTAGGCAAGGTCAGACAGCCTGTCTTTGAAATTAAAAACCGTTTGGTGATTTCTGATTTTATTACTCCACTTCAACCCTGAAAGAACTCCAGCACAGCAATTGTATATTTCTCAAGGTCAGCCACCTTTTTCCACACATTTTACCCTAGAGAGTGGGATCGTTACACAGAACCCTAAGCTCAAAAAACCATTTGTTAAAATAAAACCTCACTGATTCAGAAAGCAGGATTCTTGGGAAATAAAATGAACCATCCAATTTGATTTGTGATCAAAATGCCTGCAAATTTGCTGGATGTAGAAATAGAATACCTCATTTTTTAAATAAGCAAATAAATATTAATGCAATCATAATTTGGCCAACTAAAAACCAAATGTGAATAACATTACAAACTACAGAGAACTTTTCAGTCTAGTGTCTCAACACAACTTTCGCTCTTAGGTGACATAAAAGGAAAATGAAACCATTCCTCTGGAGATGAAAACAAGTGAGCATTGTTGACCTTAAAATAAGGACAAATAAGACAAAACACATAAAAGCTCCGAAGCCTGATGAAACCAAATGGAGAGGTGGAATCTTGGTGCAGGGTTTGGTGGGTTTTTTTTTTCTAGTTAACTGAACTTTTATTCGTATCCTAACACTTCATCCTTCGTGAGAAATTTCCTAACTTAGACCCGCTATGCAGTCTAAGTCTTCTGAAACCTTCTGCACTGACAGCCAGAGACAGCCCCCCTTAAACCTTCCTGTTTCCAGCCCTTAGCTGCAACCTGTTGGTTGACACTTGTATTTACCATTTTCACACTCTTCTCTGCTCACCAGTTGTTGGAACATCAAACTACCACAGGAGCGAACTTGGGGTCTGGGACGACATACAACCCTGGAAATCAGCTCCCGAAAAGCTGACATTAGCAGGAAGTAAAACTGATCTTCCCTTCGTTGGCTCACCTTCGCCCTTACTCTTTTGAGCCAACTGAATCATTGGTTACTTCCAAGACCAGACTCTAAATTCAAGGTGTAAAATGCAACCATGTGCCATATTAAAAATGAACAAAGTGTCTCCTACACTGAGAAGTGAGTGAAATCTTTTAAATCACAAGGTAAAATGGACACAGGCAACTCATTTCTCTTCCTCGGGCTTCAGTTCACGGAGGATCCAACTGAAGCCATCATACAGGTCTCTTAAACTTCTTACACTGTTCAAGAATTTTTACATCTGTGTTTTGGCTCAGTGACTCACCAAACAATATTCAAGAGGTGCCATAAATGCCTGCATTTTTTAACTGCTTTATGTTCAAGAAATTCACATTTATTACCTTCAGTTGCATTTAAAATAATGTTTTTAGAGTAATTTCCAGACATGTGTCCAATCCCTCTACCTTCAGTCTTCCCAAAAACATATATTTGAGTTGAGCCCACGTACAGCTCTCAAGCGTAGGATTTGCAAAGCTGCCTAATGAGAGGAAGACCATGTCCACTGTCCAGACCTGTACTCGATCTTACCTTCTATGAACAGCCTTCTTAAGGGTAACTTGTCATAAAGAACAAATCTGTGAAGTCAGAAAATTTTGTCTATCATATAAAAATATTTAATTAATGTAGCTTTTGCCTTAATCTGCATTTTCTGAAGAGAAAATCATTTTAAATCACGATAATTTTTAAACAAAAGCTTTATTGAAATTTAAAAGCACTGGTATAATTTTCACTATGAAGATCAACTCCCGAGGTCTGAACTTAGCTCCATAGTGTGCCCAAGTGACCAGGCACCCAGCAGCCCAGTGTGACAAAAAGTATGCTGAGGGCACTGTTGAGATTATTAGTGATGCCTTGTCCAGTCACGTCTTATCCTGTTCCATTCTCCTCAAGAAAACTCACAAAACAGAGGTTTGTGTCTTCTGGGTCTTGGCTCTGTTCTTGTTTATTTTAATGAAGGGTTCTGACTTGTGCTCATTATTATATCCCTTGTGCATGTTCCTAAATCAAAATTCACACTCTCCTAAAATAACTCTACCTCCAAAAAATTTTGTCATTAATGTTCCAAGCCTGCAAAATAGGTTGTATTCCCTATTTAATGATTGATTCATGGTTATGCTGCGAAACATGTTAAAAATCGTTTCCTGATGGCATTACTGGCAATCACTGTTTTTCCTCGGGAGCATTAATGCACAGCATTTTCCTTCTAATGGAAAACACTTATTGTACAAAGCCCGCGGTGTCTTCAGAGCAAAAGAAAATTGGTTTCTGTCCCTTATTTCGCTCGACTCCATTTTCCATAGTGAGCCACAAACAGGATGTGAGCCTCTGGCATAAAAACCATGCTGGAGCTGGTATGTGCAGCCAGTGATCTCCATGAGAGCTAAGATTCCCTTTACTATTCCTCATGTACCAGTACTGCTCCTGGAACAAAATAACCAAAGTGTGCTCTGGCGGGGGGGCGGGGGGGAAGGTCTGTGTGTGGGCACACGTGTGTGTGGTGTACATGTGTACATTTGTAATATAAGAAATAAAACTATTATTTTTTAAGTTGTGACTATTAGAGTTGGACTTTACTTTCTTATCAGTAACTAACGTATTTGGAATAACCTATGTTGATTAT